GCTTTTCCCACCCTGCCTCTGTCCTGCAGCTGTCTGTCTGTCTGTCCAGGATCCCAGTGTGCTTGCCGGGGCAGCCAGGCTGGTGGCTGAACTGGAAATAGGCTTTTGCATTTGTCCCGCTGGAGAAGCAGGAGCAGGGTCTGTGCCTGGGGCAGAAGGACTGGGCTGGAATTCAGGATCTGGCCACTGGTGACTCCTGAATCCCCAGAGCGCTGCTCCTGTGGCCTGGCCTAAGCTCACTCCTCATCATTCAATTAGCAAATAATTGCCTGTGCAGCAGTTGACGTGATAGTCGGTTGGGAATTAAGTTCGTGTTGCTGTCACGAGTCATTTGTTTTCCACCCCAGAGGTGGCCACATAAAATCAGGCCTTGCAGGAGAGAGCAGAAGGGGCACAGTGGGCTTTTTTTGCTGTTCTTAGCATGTATTTGAATTCCTTAATCGGAGCTGTCAGGGGTCGAGCTGACAGGACAAGCTCTGACCTCGCGAGGTCCATCCTCAGCCAGCTGCTCCGTGGTTGGGGAGGTAGAAGATCCTCATGCTGGAACTTGGGTGCTGATCTACCCACTGGTGTGTGGCTCCTGGTGGGCTCACCACTGCGGTGACAACAGCCCTGTGCTCCCAGGCCAACCCCATCCCGTCATCCCTTTTGCAGGCAACATGTGAAAGGGGCTTTGCAGCCATGGAGGAGACACATCAGAAGAAGATTGAGGACCTGCAGCGGCAGCACCAGCGGTGCGAGAAGCGGCGGGGGGAGAAGGATCGCCTGCTGGCAGAAGAAACGGCTGCCACCATTTCAGGTACAGGGACACGCCAGTGGTGTCCCCCACAGTGGGGCAACGCCGTGTTGATGAGGACATGGGGATGGTGTTTGATCCAAGGCGGAGAAGCAGAGTGGGGGGTGGGATGAGAGCTGGGTGGGGATTGCAGGGAGATGGGGAGAGGCTGGTGGGACGTATCTTTTGGATGGAGGCCCATCTCCTGGTCCTTCTCCAGGCTTGGTACCCATCTCCTTGGCTGTAACATGGTCTGATCCATTTTCCATTCCATCTCAGAAAGGCATTAGTCATTCCTGTGGTTAATTTATTGCCAATTCCACACTGAATTTATTGGGTGCCTCAGGGAGTTTTAAAGCTCTGGAGCCCAGGGTCTCTGCATTAGGAGCCCCGCAGTCCAGGAAACATGGGAATTGGACAATTGTTTGGGCTTTATTAACAAAGTGGGATTTGCAGAAGCCCCTTTGCTGCTTCACAGCCAAGGGCACAAACTGAAGCATCCGTGAAGCAGTGGGAGGTTCACTGGGGTGACTTGGGGTTTGTTCCTTTAAAAAACAAACAAGAACTCAAAAACCCCACCGCTGGGCTGAGCAGTGCTGGGTGCTAACGCTGTGCTGTCCCACAGCCATCGAAGCCATGAAGAACGCACACCGGGAGGAGCTGGAGCGAGAGCTGGAGAAGTCCCAGCGCTCCCAGATCAGCAGCGTCAACGCCGACATCGAGGCCCTCCGAAGGCAATACCTGTAAGACCGTCGTTGTCCTCTGTCTGTCACCATGTGTCTCAGGGACATCACATGTGTGGGGAGACCCCTTTTTCCCCTTTGATTTTGGTAATGGGTTAGGAGCAGACCTGTCATCACAGGGACTTCGTCTCGTGGTCCCAACCCAGCTGTGCCCATTGGAGGCTCCTGGTTGCCCTTAGTCTTTGAGGCTCTAAGTCAGTGTCCCCACACTACCCAAATTCAGCTGCTTTATGGTCACCAGAAGTAGCAGATGCTTTTCACATAGCTGCAGTGCGAGGGTTGCTCGACCAAATCTAACCAGACAAGGAAAAAGCACTTGGTTTCTCGTGGCAAGGCTGTCCTCACATGGGAGCTGAGCAAAACAGCCCAGCAGCTTTATTAACCTTGTTGCATCTATGTAAGATGTGTGGGTGTGCAAATACACCCGGTCCCGAGTGCCCAGAGCAAACTTGATAGATCTCAGTTCAGTTTTTGGAAACCTGAGGAAGTCCTGCCATTTAACCTCCTAGAGAAAGACCCACCATCCCCTTTGCTGCCCAAGCACCTGCTGTGCCAGGAGAGGGAAGGGCTGGCTCGCTCTGGGCTTGAGGTTTTTCCCAAAGGGAGTGTGTGCATCCTCCTCCTCAGTGCTTAGATCCCTGTTGGGTTGTCCTGGGGCGCTGAAGGAAGAGTGGACACGGGTGGGTGTGTGCAGGGAGGGCACTGCCCGGCGTGTGTTTCACCAGGGAGGAGCTGCAGTCGGTGCAGCGGGAGCTGGAGGTGCTTTCGGAGCAGTATTCACAGAAGTGTTTGGAGAACGCCCACCTGGCGCAGGCGCTGGAGGCTGAGAGGCAGGCCCTCCGCCAGTGCCAGCGGGAGAACCAGGAGCTCAACGCCCACAACCAGGTGAGGGCTCCCCGCCGTGCCGGGGACAGCCAGCACGAGCAGGCGGTGATGGGTGAACCATGCCGTGCTGAGCCATGGCTGCACTCCCCCCTTTCCACAACAGCTCTCCTCCTCCTCCTCCTCTTCCCAGGAGCTGAATAACCGCCTGGCTGCGGAGATCACGCGATTGCGGACCCTGCTGACCGGGGAGGGCGGGGGAGAGGCTGCTGGATCGCCTCTTACGCAGGGCAAGGACGCCTACGAGCTGGAGGTGAGCTCTGCTGCTGCCATGACAAAGGGGCAGCAGTGATGGGCACAAGTGCCTGTGGACCCTGGGCTCTGAGTAACCTGGTCTAGTTGAAGGTGTCCCTGCTCACTGCAGGGGAGTTGGACTAGATGACCTTTAAAGGTCCCTTCCAACCCAAACCATTCCATGATTCTATGACCCCTGGGAGCACGCAGCCATCCATCCCTCCACATATCAGGTCTGCATGTGCATCATGGGGTGCAATGGGACCAGGAGCTTTTGAACTCCTAATCTTCCTTTCTCACCATGTCAAGCCAGACACTTGCTCTTCCTTTTCCATCCCCTGCTTGTCCTTTGGGATCCGGTCCACACAAAGCAGTGGGGGCTAACAGAAATGGGCACAAGTGCCTGTGGACCCTGGGCTCTGAGTAACCTGGTCTAGTTGAAGGTGTCCCTGCTCACTGCAGGGGAGTTGGACTAGATGACCTTTAAAGGTCCCTTCCAACCCAAACCATTCTATGATTCTACAAAACTGAAGGGTGTGCAGGGAGCACATCAGTGACACAGGCTGGGGGAAGGTTCCACAAGCCCCAGGAGTGATTTTCTTACATCAACCAGAAGACAGGTGGACCAGCAGCTTTGCAGTGCTGGCATTGAGCTGGCACAGCCTCCAGCCCTGGCTTGATTGTCACTGGGTGCAGTGGGCAAGTATTTCAGGATCACGCTGCGTCTGCTCAGATGCAAACACACGCTGCTTTTGTCCCCACAGGTCCTGCTGCGGGTCAAAGAGTCAGAAATCCAGTACCTGAAGCAGGAGATCAGCTCCCTCAAAGACGAGCTGCAGACAGCACTGAGGGTAATGCCCAGGGAGATTTCTGTGAATCCTCTTACGGGCTGTGCTCTGCTCCTCTGTGTGTGTGTGTGTGTGTGCGCGCTTAGATTTCAGCTCATTTATCTCCACATTTGAAACAAAATTTAATTTTTCCCCTGAATGGAATTGAATACCCATTTTGGTGTCATCGGTAAAGCACTCCATGACTTTGTCAGCTCAGGACTTACCCCTTCTCCCTTCTTGTGGGAAAACATCCCCTTCAGTGTTTTTCCTTATTTCCTGTCACATCAGATCAGATTTGAAACGGCAAAAGGAACCAGTAACTGAGTAACTGCCCAGCCTCCCAGCATCAGATCTGGTTTGCTCCAGACAGCCAAAGCCATTTCTGGGAATTCTACTTGAATTCCGTGTCTTAGTTAAAATTAAAACCCACAAACAAGTAATCCTGTAACGAAGGGGCTGCGTGCACAGGCAGTGCTGTACGCTCAGCGCTGGGCTCACAGCTTGCTGCCCATCTCACCTCCCATCCTGCTCTTAGACGCGGCTTCCAGAGCCTTTATGGAACGTGTGCGTTACCCCCCCAAGCATTTCTCCCCATTTCTTCCGTCAGCGTTTGCCGAGCTCCTCTTTGGTGCGTTCACAACCCCCTCAGCTCCAGCTCTTTATCTGATTCCGTTGGATTCTTCTTGTTCCTTTGCCAGGATAAGAAATACGCCAGCGACAAGTACAAAGACATCTACACGGAGCTGAGCATCGTGAAGGCCAAGGCAGACTGTGATATCAGCAGGTTGAAAGAGCAGCTGAAAGCAGCCACAGAAGCTCAGGGAGAGAAATCCCCTGTGAACACCACTGTATCGGGATATGGTCAGTCCTTCTCCAGCAGCTCTAAGCAATTGTGGGTTTCCCTATCTGACGCATCCATCCTGGCATCCAAGCCCTTGGGCAGGAACAGCTCTGAGTGGTGGTTTTTTGCTGTTTCATGCTGCTTCCCACCTCTGCTCCTTGCAGACAGTCTCACCGGAGATGGAAGGGACCAGGCAGACCTGAGTTACCCTCCCATGATAGTTTCTCCTTCCAGCCCTACAGCTGGGAAGCCAGTAGGCTTTGAAAGCCACCTGGCATTTTGTATTGGGAAAACCTCATGGTACACACAGTGCAGGGGAGCGGAGACCTCTGAGAGCCCCCTCTGCCCATCCGGCAGCGCTGCTTGACTCAGGCTCATCGGGACACTTCCCCGGACTGGGAGGGCAGAAACATCCCAGCTCTGCTCCTTGCAGGAAGCCCACGGGCACCACGCTAACACTGTTTCTTTTGCTTCTCCCCAGATATTATGAAATCAAAAAGCAACCCTGATTTCTTGAAGAAAGACAGATCCAGTGTTAGCCGGCAACTAAGGAATATCAGGTCAAAGGTGAGCTCAGATCTCCTCCCCCGTGTGATGAAAATGCCCAGCGTTACTCTCCGGTGGGGATCGCAGGTGGGAAGAAATTGGTAGGGGATAAAAAGTGAGAATTTCCCAGTCAGTAGCAATAGCCTGGATGGCACTGGGGAGAAAATTGAACATTTGTCTGCGAAACAGGGCCCGCTCCCCTCACCACTCGTGTTCCTGACCCTGCTGAGATCAAGGTGTGAAGCTGCTCCCTGCTTATAAAAAGGATGAAGTTCACCCTGTTCTTTGGTCTTTCACAGGAGGACTCTCCCCGTATTTTCTCCCCATTTTCAGTTGAAGTTTAGGTGCTGTCAGTAGGTGGAAATGTGCACATCATTCTAGGTTTTAGTGTTCATTGCTGCAAGATTTTTGGTCTTTATCTGGAAAAACAATGCCTTGGTCCTGGGCATATTTAACACACGCTTTGCTTGTGTGTTAACAAGGTGCAGATGGGCCTGTGTTTCTCCAGCCATTCTGTACTTACTGTTGGTCCCAAAACCCAGTGATGTTGGGCCAAGCTCACCTGCTTGACCTGCTGACTGCCAGTTACATCATGTTACACACTGGCTGTTCCTGTGGGACCACAGGGATAAAAAGGTCCAAATAAAGCCACTGAGAAGTCATCATTAAACATAGGTCAGTTGGAAGGAAGGTCAGCATGGGCAAAACCTGCTTTGCCTTTCACCACTGGATATCTGGTGTCTCATGCTGATGTTTGAAGTGGTTGAGACCTTGGGCAGAGTGAGAAGCCAGGCAGGCAAAAGGCTTCTAGCTCGGTGCCCACACTGGGGAAACAGTCACCAGTCGAGCTCTGCCAGCGCCAGGTCATCAGCTTGGGGTGTCTGGGCTGCACCGAGTAAATACAGAGAGCATCTCTGCACATTTCAGGGGCAGCCCAGACCTGCTGGACCAGGTTTGATGTTGGGTTTCCCTTCACCACTTCAACTCAGACCATTTATCTTGTGGTCCCCAGTCTGTGTTGCTTGTTGGGGGAAGGAGAGGAGAGCAAGCATGGGCTCTGCCTGGGCGCGCTGCCTGCTCGCATCGCCGCCGGGACGGGGGGTCTGGGGCTGCGCGATGCCAATGCATTTAGGATTTATGAGCTTCTTGTTTTGTTTCTTTATTTTGCTTTTTCCTTCAACAGTCCGTTATTGAGCAGGTCTCATGGGATAACTGAAATGAACCCGAGTCCAGGTTCCCTGCCACGTAGGTAAACAAACCAGCACCCACCAAGCGACGCAGCTGCCCACTGGAGCGGCCCACTTTTGCATGCACTGCTCACACCTCCATGGCAAACGAGAGCCCTTCTTCTCTTAATGACTCACTGGTTTATTTATGGCTAATTATTTTACTGGGGGAAGGGGAAGGGAGAAGTCAGCAGATCCAAGATCCATATGAAATGCAGTCTCTCTGGCTCTTCCCTGGGGAATACGGGTTTTTCATCTTCCTGCTCCTCCCACCCTCGCCAACACAGCTAACCATCACGGAGGGGATTTGGACACGGTGGGGCATGTTTTCCTGTTTGCTGTGTTGGGAACGTGGGACACCGAGTATGCACGCTTGAATGATTCTGCATGCCTCAGACTAAACTTCAGCAACATCCAGGTCTTGTAGGAAAAACAGTCATTTTTGCTGTTAGCTGGGTGGAGGAGTGGGGCAGTGATGCCTATAAATGCATTTTTCACAAAGGTCTGTAGTGTGTAAAATGGTGCCTTCCCCCCATTGCAGCTGCAGAGGGGATGTCCTGGGCTGCCCTAAATTTCCTTTACCTATAATTGCTGCTTCTTTAGGTTGATCTGTGCCTGAGCAAAAGAGTCTTCCTTGCCCAGTAACAACCTCCTCTTCCTGCTCTCCAGGCTTCCTCCAGCTCCCCAGTGTCCACCCCGCTGCTCCCCATCCCTTGGCACTGTGCCTCTGTCCCACATGCTGGCCCGAGGCTTCCAAGCAAAAGGAGGGAGCTGATGAGAAATGAGGTCGATCCTAAAGACCCAGATATCTCAAGTAACTGGAGAAATAGTTAATTTACTGGCCTGTGGTAAAGCCTGAGGTTAGAGCACCTGCAGAGATCGGTTAGAGAAAAGAGGGGATGGTGGCAGAGGGGTGGCTGGAGAGCCCCAGGAAGTCTGATGGAAAATCCCTTTATCACAGATTTTATCCTACATCAGTCTCCTCTCATCAGCGAGTAGCTGGGTTGTGAGGCTGCCAAAGGGGTGAATTTGCTGGAATTTGTACCATTAGGCAGAATAGTCAAAATGGTTTCTGTTGGGATGTACAAACTGGAATGCAAATGGGTTGCTGCCCATTTAAAGAGGCCCAAAGTAAACTTCCTTTAGGAAGTGTGGGCTCAGAGACTCGCATCCCAAGAGACTCTGCTGCCCGTTGAAAAGCAAGTGTACAGCATTCGTAAATCCCAACCCATCCATTCCAGTGCCTTCATTTCCCTGCTGCTTCGCAAAGCTCTTCTGTATTTATGGGCCTGTGGAAGGAGAAACATTTAAAGAAATACAGTAACCATGGGAATCTGCACAGCCTTTGGGACAAGTTTATCATGGAATCCTGCCTTGATAAATACCCGGGAAAGAAAACCCAGCCCAGAAGTCTAACCTGCTGCTGTGATTGTACAGTCATCTGGCACCGCGGGCAGGGGAGTAAAAGCAAAAGAGGAGATGGCTGCCCCGTAATGGAAGGGGCTTTGTGTTCGGGTCTGTGCCTTTGGAAGCTGCCACGTCTTGGGCTGTCAAGCAAATAATGTTCCAGCTGCAGAGTGAATTCCTTGCAAGTTTTAAGGAATAGTTTTGTAGGCAGCAGTTCCCTGCAGGGTGTGTGCAGGGAGACGGCTGCCCGTCCCAGAGCAGGCACAGCCCAGCTCGGCAGCGCGTAGGGACAGAGCCAAGGGCCTGGCTGGTGGCTGGGGACACGTCTGTGCCTCCTCAGCAGCGGCAAGCGGGGACAACTCGCTGTCTGGTGTTCTGCTCCCCTGAAGCTTTTAAGCCACAGCTCTGGGGCTGCAGGAAGGGGGAAGGCTGGCTTTAGGCTTCTGCGTCTCCTCGGGCTAGTTTCAGATTAAAGCTGTCATCCAGGGGAGAAGCAATTTGCTTCTGGGTTTCTACTCCTGACATTGATGTTGTGGGTCCCCACGTGTGGGTGAGAGATTTCACAAATCCAAATGCCAAGGGCTAGCAGGGCAGGCTCTTCTGTTGGCTGAGTGTCATGCCTTTAAATCTGGATGCTGCATCTGAATTGGATCAGCCATCAGATCCTGCTAGACCTGAAGCGAGTCCTCTGTCTAACCCTGTGCAGTAGAGGCAGCTTTGGCTTCAGAGAGCTCCCAGGCTGGGGTTAGAGAAAGGGTGGGATTGTCACTGGCAACAAAAACACAGTTTCCAGGGCTCCTTGAGGAAATCTTCACATTGAGCAGAGCCAGGACTGTCCCAGATGGATGCATGTTCAGCTGGTGCTGCAGTGGCTTGGGCAGGCAGGGAGGACTGGTGTGCAGGTCCTGCACAGCACCGCGGTGCTTTAGCCTAGCAGATCTGAGCTGACCTGCCTGGGGCTCCCACAGCACTGGGGCTCCCACAGCACCTGGGGGGGGCTCTGCTGAAATTGTCCCAGCCACCACTGCACCGCAGGCTCTGGGGGTCATTTTCCAAGTCAAGCTAATCCCGCTTGCAGCATGGTGTGCCTCTCGTTTGCTTCTGGTACGTCGCCTGGTTCATTTGCAATCTCACCCTCTCTCTAGGCACCATTCACCAGTAACCACCCTCCATAACCGTGTGTTTTCTCTTAGCATGTCCCACTAATCTCTCCGCCACGGAGGCCATTTCCCGCTGCCCACGTCTCCTTTGCCTGAGCATCGCACCCTTTCTATGTGCCGCCTCCTTCCCTCCCTCCCGCCTGCGTCCGACGCTCTCTGTCTTTTTGTCTCTCCCAGAGTCTGAAGGAAGGCCTGACTGTGCAAGAACGCCTGAAGCTTTTTGAATCCAGGGACTTGAAGAAAGACTAGTTCTCCCCGCTCCGCTTGACCACGCGCACCTCCCAGCTTGAGGCAGCACAGCACCAGCACCGTTTGTCTCTCGTTCCTTACGACTGTCCTTGCTGTCGTTCGTCTTGACGCCCCTGACGGGACCCAGCGCCACGGTGGCGGTTCCCCCCCGCTACCCCCTCACCTCCCCAGCACCTTTCCCTGCTTGTGAGATGCTCCAGAGACTCTTGAGAGGGAGAGGAAGGGATTGGGATGGGGTTGTTTTTTTCCCCCCCCCTCTCTTCGGCGCTTTGTAGGAGACTCCTTCCTTTACTGTAAACCATTACACTAAGTGTCAGTATTAAGGCTCAGTAGCCTGTTAATAAGCTAGCTCTGTCGTACCAACCGTTTTGGTATGCAAGCAGGGCCTGGGTGGTATCGGCCATACCGAGCTCTTTACTGCTGTCAAGAGACCCAGTGCTCAGGGCACGCCAGGAGCCTAATCTAACCGTTGATCTCGATTGCATTACTTGCACCTACAAGGTGGGGGGAAAAAGCCTGGGGGGAAGCTGTCGGGGAGCACAAGTCGGTGCTGGCGTACGCAGCCTGGAGGTACAACACTGACATCTCGCTGGAGAAGGATGCAAGAAATGATTCTCCTGCCCCGTGACTGTGCCGTATCCTGAATGTAGGCGATATCGAAGCCTGGCGAGCTTTGGTGGCTGCCCAGGTGGTTGTGGATAGGGAGCTGCAGATGCTCACGTGCACCGTCGAGTCCGCCCCATCGGCGTGTCTTTGCCTCGCGTCTCGCTGGTGGTCGGAGTCGGTGTTTTGGGGGCTGAGCTGTAAGATCACTTTCTTGCCTTTGTTAGATCAAGCCCAGCACTCTCTTTTTTTTTGCTGTTACTCCCTTCCTCTCATTGAGTCCCGTGTATCCCAGGGTCTGTGCGCATGTGAAACTCCCTTTTCCTAGTCAGAGGAAAGTAGAGTAGAAAGTAGAGCCAATATTGACTGAAAATGCACAGTGCTCAATGCATATAATGCTCCTTTTTTATCAGCTTCTTGAATTCAACTCTTCTTGTCAGCAGGGCAGCTCCTATTTTAATTCTTTAATCTTTTCCTGAAATAAAAATCTCAAAACCAGTATGTGCTTCAGACCTTCTCAGTCCTAATAGCTTTTGTATTTAAAACGTCCAATTTAGCACCGTGAGGCCGATAAATGGATACAAACTCAAAGTGAGGTGAGGAACTGGTAGCACAAGCTGCAGCACACGGCCAGCCAAGCAGAGGTCATCTTCCTAGAAGAAGCCTTCACTGCTTTGCAGCAGGGCTGCCCAGGCCCAGCGGCTTCATCCAGGCTAAATTTCAAGATGCCACCTGTAAAGACCCCAGGTCCTGCCTCACCCATCGCCCTGGCCAGGAGCAGGGCTGAAGCAGCGCTCCGGCACGTTGGCTTCCCAGCCTTGTTTAGCCACCAAGTGACCTGGGCTGCTAAAAATACACCCGAGCTTTCCTGTGGGGCAAAGCTTCCTCTTGTCTTTTGGGTGCTTAACCCGTGGTTGAAGCTGGCAGCTCTGTGTACTTCCATGGCTGATTTTGGGTCTGTTTGTTAGGGACAAGTGAAGCCCTCAGAGCAAAATCTTGCTGCAGCTCTGGAGCGGTGAGCACCACGGGGCTGGTGACAGCCATCTCCAGTCCTGCCAGGCTGGAGCACAGCGGGTGCCACAGAGTTCACCCTGATCCTTCTGCTCGCAGCGTCAAGTTTGAACTTCACTGAAGTGAGAGGTCTGGGTCTCTGGTATAACCTCATGGTTGGGTGAAGGGTGTGTGTTCAGGTCCCCCTGCTCCCAGCAGCTTGGGATGTGATGTTTCAGTGACATCTACGAGCAGTTAAAGGCAGTCTGTAGGTTAAATCAGGGACACCAACACCTGCCAAGCAGAGTGGATTGTAGGACCAGCAGAGATGTCAGTGCTGTGGCCCAGGTTCATCTATATTTGGGCTATTGCTTGGGTGGGAAGTAGACTCCATCCACTGTGTTTTGTATCTTGTAGATGCCTTTCTGACCCTGTCAGGAGATGGTCACCTGGCTCAGGTGCCTGGCTTGGTCCCATCCAAAGTCATCTGTCCAGCTCTCAGCAGGGATAACATTTACACTTCATCCCTGGATGCTCCGGGTCCGTGCTGAGCTCTGCTCTCTGGCAGCTGTGATCTTCTGGTAGAGGCCTTGGGACACAGCATTGGGATGCTGCGTGGGCCTTGTCATTGTCATTGCTCTTCCTTTATAAGATGTCACTGGCTCCAGGAGGACGCCCTCTTCCTCCTCTTGAGTCTTAAGACCTATGGTGGGACTTTGTCCTTTTTAGCTAACAGAGCAGAACATGTGCTGGTCTCCTCACCACGTGGACCCTGACCTTTCTTACGTCCTCTAACAAATCCTGATTTTTCTTTGCTTACTTCATGCACTCAGGAGCACTTTTTTTAAGCGTGAGGACTAGGAGTTATCTACTTTGCTATTTGCATTGGCATGTCAGTGGTGTGGAGGACACGAGATGGACCTTTTCTGATACAGGATCATCCCACTGAGCATCTTGAGGCTCCCCACAGAGGGATGTTTTCTGCTCTGTGCTTGATTATACCAAGAAAATCCTCTTTTGCAGCTTAGTGTCCTGCCTGGAACATCATACTGAGCTTGGCAAGTAAGAACACTTAATGTCTTTGCCAGTGCTCCTGCTTTGAGCCTTATTTCTTAATGTAGAGAATGTCTGGGTAAGTGGAGGACACACGTGGAGCAATCAGGTGGGATCATCCCCAGCTCTTGACTAGCATGTGTAAATACATTAATAGGATTTTATTTGTTTTTAAGAAAAGGGGAGAGGATGGGCAGAACGGTGCTGCAGTGTGTTGGTGAAGGTGGATAGTGCAGGGAGGCAGAAGGTGCAATTAAAAATGCAGTGGCACGGGGAGCTGTGCAAAGCACATGGGTAGTGAAGACAGGAGAGTCCAGAGATGTTTCCTGCTTCTGCTTGGCCCTAGATTGCCCTGTGAAATGAGGCTACTGGGAGGAATAATCTTATTTATATACATATAAAAATATCCTGAGATATTTTTATATAACTCTGGATATTTTTATATCCAGAGCCAGGAGATGCAGCACCAGCAGGACTGAAGGTGGATTTTTCTTCTCTCTTTCCTCTAGTTTGTTTTTACCTTATTGTACAGAAAATGTCAGGCCTTGCGTCACCCTCCCACCCCCTTTTTTATGGGCTCCCTGAAACAGCTGTAAAAGGACTTGAATTGAGGTTTGCTGATGGGATCAGCTGCTCAGAGGTTTGATGTCAGGGAAATTTTATTTAATATATATTTGGCCAGCTTCTCTGGACCTTCAAATAGCTGAAAAAAAGGCAAAACAGGCAGGTTTGCTGGGAAAAAAAACAAACCAACAAACCCTGGCACTGACTACAGGTATAGCTGAAATAAAATGGGTTGGATGGCAGGAGGACAAGTGTGCAGAGGGACAGGTGGGACTGGCCACTGTTGTCATGGTTTTAGCAATGTTTAATAAGCCAAATCAATGAATCTTATTGATGAATTTCATGGGTTTAAAGTACTTATAGCTAAACAAAAGGATCTTTCATGAACATAGTGGTGGTGGTGGTCTCTTATGCTGTGGCTTGTAGGAGCAGCCAGCTTCCACTGGGGAGTTGGGCTCCTTTGAAAATGAAAAGAGAGAACCTGGCTCTGCTCTACCAAAGGTGCATCAGGGGCTGAGAAGGGGCCACTTGGCATCGTCAGGATCAACCTCAGCCTTTGGGGCAGCACTTCACCAGGTGGGAATGCTGTATACGATGTCTTATGGTGGTAGCTATGAGTTCTGGAGGTCATAAAGAAAAGGAGGAGGAAGAGAGAAGATGCTGTGAGATACTGACTGCTGTGGGCTGTGCTCCAGGCTTCAGGCTCTGCTCCGCTTGCAGGCTGGCAAGTAGCTAAGCATCTCTCCAAAGCAAGAGGCACTGCATCACCTGCCTTTAAAGAAAGAGAGAGAACCTGCAGCACCAGTGAACAGCCAAAACCTGAAATGTTTCTGCAGAAGGCAGTGCTCTAAAATAGAATTTTAAAAAGCCAGCTGAAACGCTTTTTAAGTTTTACTGATAGCGATGGTCCTTAGCTCTCCTATTGCTTCTTCCATGGGCTTCACCTTTTGGTGTGGTCCAGGTTCCTGCTGTGCACAACGGGCGAGTCCTCGCAGGCATCCTGCTTCACACGCTCCCCAGGGCCCCGTATACACACGGTGTCGCGTGTAAACTGCTGCGTTTCACACAGTTCAACACTATTGACAGTACTGAAATGTGAGGGCGAGGAAAAGTCAAGTGTGACAAAGACACAGACTTCTTCTAACTGGTTCCAAGTAATTTTTTTTTCCTGTGTAAAATTTCCCTTCCATTTGCACCGTCTCCCCTGGAACAGACTGAATCCTTCTTTAAATGTGACTGTTTCTTTGGCCACATATAAAAAAAGAAGCAAATTGTGTTCATTCGCTTCAAAACTAGAATTGTGTGCTGACTTGCAAACCAGAAAAGTCTCTCTTTTTTTTTTCTTTTTTTTCTTTTTCCTGTAGCAGAAGTGGACTGGACTGGACTGGACTGGACTGGACTGCACTAGTAGGGCTGCCCCCAGCATTGGAAAATGTGTCATTTTTGTATCAGCTCTAGATTTGATTGCACTTCCACTAGACCTCTGCATTTTTTTCATGGCTCGGATACAGTAAAGTTTGTTGTGAACACTTAAGCACATGCAGACCAGGTGTAGCTTTTGCCTTTCCTCTCTAATTTTTTTTCCCTTTTTTTTTTTTTTAGGAAAGCTTTGTTATTCTTCTCTTTTAAAAAAAGTAATTTAAAACCTGTATAGTATTCAAAGCACGCAATGTAAATATTTATGACTCAGCAATTAGTGGAGGGTTCTTTTTCTGTGACTTAAATTGTGGTTTTGATTTTTTTTAAATCTTGTTCTAACACAGACATCCCACGCAGGGGCTGGGAGAGGAGTGTCATGTGTCCAAAACCCACCCCATCTACTCTGATCAACTGTTGATTTGGTTTTTGATGACTGTTATAAATAGCTTTTCAAAACTTTTCTGCTGATTTATACTTTTAGTTTTGAAGATAACCTGTCCAAAGATTGTGCACAGTCTGTTTGAGAACTGTAACCTCACTGCACTATAAACTTGAGGGTATTTTTTTTCCATTCAGAGAAGTCAATAATTGTGTATTTGATGGCGGCGTTAACACCGTGTAGGTGCAACGTGTTACCTGTCGTTACACGGAGCAGCAGCAGCTACTCGGTGACGGAGCACACGCAGCTGTAGCTTAGGGCTGTTGCAGTGAGCACGGTGAGATCCCAGATCTCCAAGGAACCGGTGTTAACGCTGTAACTCACCTGTGCAGCACGTTCAAGATGCTCTTGGACTTTACAGGGGAAGGACAGACCCTGCTGTAGCGACTCACATCTTACAGCAGCACAGCCGCGCGCCGTAACTCACGGTACAGAAGGGTTCAAACAGAACTCTCAGTGCAGCGTCATTACTACTGAGTTGAACGAACGTGATCCTGTAGTACAAAGTGTTTCTTAGGAGAGGATCCAGCTGCGGGAGCACCAGGCTGAAAACAGTCGGTGTCAGTCAGTCTCAGTGTCAGTCCCAGCGGTTCTTCTTGTCTCAGTTTTGAGATGACTAAAAAGAAACCGAGGGTGTGGGATTTACTAGCAGAAACCTGATGAGCCAGACAAGTTGGTACCAACTGAATGAAGCCAGCTGGCCATGAACTCGTCAATAATGAGTGCAATTACAATTATTCATGGTTTCTTCACATGCTGCCTGTGTGCAGGATTGACAGGAACACTCACTCTTTGTTCTAGAGACAACACAAAGTAAGTTGTAAAATACTAAAGACTACGGTAAGTAGAAAGCAGATCCCAATGTGCGGTCTTTGACCCGTGTCCACCCTCCTGGGACCTGGAGTTCTGGATGACTTGAGATTTTAAAGAATCATTTGTTTGAAAGGCTGAAGTTTTGGGGAGAGAGAGAGAGAGAGAGAAGGAAGCTCTGCAAGTCTGTGGGTGGTAGCTGAAGTGGCACTGGCTGTTCTGGTACTAATGGTCAGTGTTCCTCCACCATCCCCAGGAGAACAGGAGGTTTGCCTTCATTCTGAGCACAGTTTGAACCAATGACTGACCTGTAACCAAAGGGGAATCATTCTGGATTAAAACCACGCACGCACCACGCTCTACTGCTTCTACTCTGGAAACAACCCAAAGGAATTGTGAGGAATGAGGATACAAGAGTCATTTCCCAGTTTCTGTGGCGATGGGACACGGTGGCCAAGCCCTCCATCGCCAACCTGTGATGCAGCCAAGTGGCAAAGGGGCAGGAGAGCAGGGACAGCGGTACCTGGGCAGAGCCAGGACGCTGCAGCCTAATGGCTACTGGAATCCCAGCAGCTCAAAGCCAGGAATCATCCCAGCAGGGCGATGGGGAGAGGGAGAAGCTCCATAGGGTAGAACAGCCTCTTTTAAGGGGCATTTTCCATACAGATTAGCCCGGGAAATGATGTCTCACACATGATTTTTTTTCCCCTCTGCAAAGGGGAATAAGGTGTTGGAGGCTCCGGTTTCTCAGTAGCTGTGAGTTTCTCCTTCCTTTCCCTTCCACTCCAGTTTATTTCAGTGCTTTTTTAAGAGCCACTGTTCCCAATCAACTGCTCACTGTAAGAGAAGCGTCACTTTTTTCTCCTCACAGTATTTATTCCTTACAAAATCTTGTGTGACATGCTAGGTGCCCATGGATGTAGCTGATCGTTTTTATTTTGTAAATATAATTACCTAACTTTACATTAACTATATCGTAATAAACTATTTTTGCACCACCCTTGGCCTGCCGTGTAGTGACGTGTTTCTTTCAACAAGGACACGATTACAGACAGAACGGAGCAGAGGAACGGGAGCTCTTTGCTTCTTTTATAGTCAAACTTCACAAAGAAAATGCAACAGGTATTATTTAAATAGCAATAAGGTGTTTAAAGTAGTGTAAGTCTAACACTGCTCAACAGGATTTACTAGAGAATGACCTTCCTCAGCTGCTTCCATAGTTGCTATGCCACAGATAGAAATGCAGGTTTTGGTGATGTTACTCCATGTATCCCAAATAACATCTACAGAGATAAAGGAATTTGTAATGATTTAGATCTTTGGAACAACCAATCCACGAGAGCTACCTGGAATGTAAAAAAATCAGAAGATGATGTTAAGATTTTCTGTGAAAGTGTTTTATTTAATAGTGCCCATCACAGCACTACTGTATCAAGCAAAACTGGTAACAAAATGTTACAAAACCTCTTTTGAGAGGTTTTGAGGCACTTTATATTCAGTATAAAGTAATCCTTACACAGATGCTACTTTAGAGTTTCAAAATTCTTAAGTTTCAACCTATCTTTGCACCACTCTGAACTGTAGGGACACAGATCTTGCCTCCCTCTTGCTATTCACTTGCTGTCCCCCCACCGCTGCTGGTCAAAGGCACTGAACCAGAGCAGGACCCAGTGTCTCCACATGAAGGAACTGGGGTTTCCTCCCACTGCTCCACTCTGAAGTTGGTGACTGAGCTCCAGCCATGTCTGCTCTCACGACAAGACTAACTGATCCCAAGGAACAGCCGCTCTCATTTCTTTCCAGCCTTCCCAACCCTTCCTTGCTAGGAGACAAGCTGTCATTACTATCTGTTCTTGTGCTTTTACACTGAACTCTGCTAATCTTAAACCAAAGGAAACGTACACAACCCAACTGTAATTCTAATTTCTGCCTTCGTATTTCCCACAGATTTATTTTTACAAGCTTTAAACAATTAATGCCAACAAGAAATATAACTAAGGTGCTTAAGCTCTCTATACAAACTAGCTTTGCTGCAGCCCTGACTCTTCATTAGAGTTACTGATGTAGAGGAGCCACTGGGCTACAATTCCTCAGTATCCCAAGTTGGAAACCATCCATTTCAACACTGAAACACCTACCCAGCACCGTATGAACATACCACATCTGCACCAGTGCATGGCAACAGGCCTGCCCGTAGCTTTAAGCTCTGTGAATGCAGTCCTATCACAGATATCCTCACAAAACAACTCAGCAAACAGTTGGGTCATTCCCTCTAGTACAGGAATGACCCACAGCAAGGGACTTGTGGCACTTTAGGGTAGGGGACACTTTGCTTCTCTGGAGGAGCTTACCTAAATTACACTCAGATAGATAATACAATGACTTCTATAATAATAAAGTCCATGAATGTTATCTATCTGTTAAGGACTTCACCAATCCTGTGAGGCAGCTCATTTACTGTCTTTGGAAAAGAATCTGTAGTTGATGGGATTATACTCTTCCCAAATCCTTTCAAACTCATCCAGAAAAGGCTCCACGTACGCGGCGTCCTCCACAACCACCACGTTCTCCCGGTTGTTCTGGATAGCTTGGGTGGTCCAGTTGAGGGAACCAGTGATGAGCATCTTCCTGTCCACGATGGCAAACTTGTGGTGCATGTACCCGTCCTCCTGGTCATGGCGCACCTGGATCCCTACAAACACACAACCACCTCCTCAGCGGTAACGAACGGTGTCACCCAGGCCACTGCCACCCCCTCCCGTGCCCTGCCCCACGGAGGTCACCTCACCGACGTGCCGGAGGAGCCCGATCTGGGAACCCCGCAGCCCCATGTACTGAGCATCGGTGACAACCCGGACGCGGACACCGCGGCGATGGAGGAGCTGGACGGCGCGGCCCAGCTGCGGGCTGCAGAAGGCG